AGAAGATTGCCAGGCTCATTAGTGGGTGCTCAAAAATTTGCTTAGTTAAAGAATCAAAACAAATAATTCATATCTGAGAATAGGTCAATATCAGATCCTTTCTGTAACAAGGAGCAAGTAAGTATCCTGCATGCTGACTGCTTACCAGGGTGTCTGGGGGGCATGCACCCCCATCTCCCTCAGGGGGCCCCCCAGAGGGGACAGGAAAAAGGAAACTTCATCTATTTCACATAGAGCCCTGCACCAGTCATGCATTCCTCACATTCTTTGTTGATGGACAGTCCCAGCTGGGACAGCTGAAGAGCACATTAACAATTCAACAGCAAGAGCCTGACCTCTGAGAATCCTTTCCTACTCCTATGCTGTATTACCCTTCTTTTGAAACAAGTCCCACTCTCAAATTCAGCCAGATTTGTTTCACTCAAGCTTCTGATGAACATGCCCTGTTTTCATCTCTGGGTGCATTCTCAGGCCTGAATCTAACCTTGCTTCTGACATAAACATTACCTGAGCCTCTTTATGTGGCTTGGACAATTTGAAATGATAGGATGATGAAACATAGGAGGGGAAGAAAAAGAAGAATACTAATTATTTTTGTGCTTTCTTGGTCCCATTATTGTTTCAATTTATTAAGTTGGGTTAAAATATATCTCCGTGGAATTTTCTCTAACATTAGTAAGATATAAACATATATCATCCATATATTATAATACACCTAGTTTTTTTATTATTTAAACTCTTAGTTGGTGGTATTGGCTATTAGAATCAAGGGTATCCAATTTCCCAAACATCTTAGATTTCATGGAATTTTAAAGATTGTGGCATATTCCATTCTGTCATGTTTTAATAATGTTCTTGCCGCTGTATATACAGATGAGTGTGGGAATAAAGATTTTGCCTCCAAGGGAAACTATAAATGATCACGGTAGGTCTAAATTGTTTCACAGAAGAGTAACTTCACAGTTATTTACCTCTCTAGAGAGTTTCTTTTCCAGTTTTTTTGAAGTTTATTTTTTATAGAGCAAACGTAATATAATAAAGTGATTATTTTAGTGATATATATTTTGCCTCTGAAAACTTAGCACAAGATCTAGAAAAGATAGTGGGTGGAGTGTAAAATTACTGCAATTGAAATAATCAATAAATACAATAGGGAAAAGGGCAGTTTCATGCTCTACTATTTTACACTGTACTGAATGGCTAAAAGAATCATGACAAGAGTTTTTTAATAGCAAGCACACAAAACAGTAGTTTTTCCCCTGGCATTTCAAGGAGATTATTGTCTATTTTCTTTCTTATCAATATTTTTTCATATTAACTTTATTAATGTAATATGCATTCATTTACCTATTTTGTTGTATACATATGTAGGAATACTTTAGAAATGCAGGGTTTCTCTAGAAAAATCAGGCTTTCATTGCTGATAGAATGTAATAGTTTTCATTTTCTAAAGGATATTCCTTTTTTAAATTGTCCTTATTATTAGCTATCTGTCCAGAGGTATCATTTTTAAATTTTACAATTTACCAGAATATTTACCTTAACCATCATCTGAGCCGATGGTTCAAGATAGCTGTCTTACATTTTTGTACAGAGGAAAAGAAAGCAAAGCAAATTCTCACCTTTTAAAAGTAGAAGAAAGTCTTAAATCCTTTATGTTATTACTCAATTTAAACACTGATCCTATAAAACAAAGCAAAAAAAAAGGTAGCATTTTCTCCTACTATTATTTTATACATATTTCATTCCTTATTAATCTTATTATTAGTACTACTAATACTTAAAATAGTGTAATTTGTTAGCAATAATAATATCTGACAATATAAGTAAATAAAGGGATTATTATATTGTGCATCCCTCTAAAACTAGAGAAGAATTTCAATAGAACGTGCAAGAAAATAAAAAAGAAACACTAGAAGCCCTGGCCGGTTTGGCTCAGCAGTTAGAGCATTGGCATGTGGACCAAAGAGGCCTGGGTTTGGTTCCTGCTAAGGGTACTACCTCAGCTGCAGTTTGTCCCATCCCTGACTCCTTTGGGGTCGTGTGGGTAGCAACTACTCGATGTGTCTCTCTCACGTGGATGTCTCTCTCTCTCTCCCTCTCTCCCTCCCGCTCTATCTGAAGATAAATGCAAAAATGTCCTCAGGTGAGGATTAAAAAAAAAGAAAGAAACACTAGAAAACAGATCCATATGCTGCTTGACAATTGAGTTGACTCCCCTAATTTACAAAAGGAGAAACTTAGAAACATCAAAAGTAAGCAAACTGTGACCTTGACAGCTGGAGAGTCGATGTATATATTAGCTAAATATTTTAAAAGCTGAGGTCCCTATCACCTTTACGTGGAAATTCAAAAGATGGCGTAAATACACACTGTATCATCAGAAGGTTTCTTTGCAGTCAATATAGAAATACTAAGTCAATTTTACTGAAAAGTGATTTCTTGTTTCTTTTCTATCCTCATCTTTATTTTGGTTGGTATGAGAAAAGAAAGAAGATTAAAATGAGATAAGGGGAAAAAGTTGTGAAGCATTGAGCAAGATGAAGAATTTTTGGAGGAAAAAAAATAAGCCATATCTTTTTACAAATAGAACATCCTGGGCCTAATTAAAAATATAAACGTTTCTAGGATATATCAATGTCATATTGGGGTAGAGGTAATGTAGATTGACACAAATGAAAGCAACAGAATAAGAGAAACTCAAAATATTTTTGCACCACTATTGTTTGAAGAAACATTTTTTTTTCCCAATGAAAGTGTACTTAAGAATTCTCTTTAATGGGTAATTTTTTAAAGCATGCATTGTTATGAAAGCTAAGCATTTCTGAAATTCTTTTCTTGAAATTGAAGAAGCAAGAGACTTGTAGTTTAAAATGAATACTTTATTATGAAATATCAACCTTTCTGCCTTGGTTTCAGAAAAGATTCCACAGAAAACAGTGAAGGTTGTCCAGAGGGAGAACTAAGGCTCAAGATTTAAAAATGAGCAGTGAATCAAAATTCCTTGGAAGTATCATAATGCTAAGGAAAAATTAAATGTATTGATTTGATGAATTCATTTACATGATGCTTGACAAGTTATCATCCAGGTTCCACTGCCCAATTTTTATGGGAAGGGATGGTGAGAAAAGGGATTCTGGTAGCTTTTGCCTACTATTTACCTGTTCAGAGACAGCTCAGCAAGAGAGTGGTGAAGAACTAGGGCTGCATTAGAAAACATCCTCTGGGCCAGCTTTAGGCTTGCTTTGAACTCTTGTTCATCATTATTTTATATGGCAGCTTGTCTTTGTGTTGGTGGAAGGGAGAAGAAAATCAAGAGACTGCCTTTAGGTTCTAAATCGAATCACAGCTCTGCAGATTGCCGGAGTGGCTTTTCAAAGGGGGTGTGTGTGTGTGTGTGTGTGTGTGTGTGTGTGTGTGTTTCAATTTGATTGGAACTTGGAGAAGATAAAGCAAGTGGGAAACCACTTTAAAAGGTATTCTATAGCCTGCGGTGTGGTTCAGTGGATTGAGCGTTGTCCCATGGACTGAGAGGTCCCCTTGATTCTCGGTCAGGGCACATGCCTGGGTTGTGGGCTTGATCCCCAGTGTGGTGCATGAAGGAAGCAGCCAATGGATGTGTCTGTTGCACATCAATGTTTCTATCTTCTCTCTTTCCTCTCTCTCTAAAAAATAAAATAAAAATAACATATTTGGAGGGGTCTACAAAGGATAAGAGGAAGCCACTCTTGTCAAATAATTTCAGAACCGAAAGGAACTGGACCATTGCCCCTAACAACCTTTCTTGATTGTGACCTCAAGCTCCCAAGATATTAAGTCAGGAGACCCTTCTTGCTGGATTCTCTCTGCACCCTCTTTACCCTGCCCTATGCTGCCTCTAGCGTTAGGCCGAGAAACTATAGGAAAGAGTGGGAGCGAGAGAAACCAAAGAAAAGCTGGAGAGGGTCAGAGATAACTCCTAAGAAGGCAAAAAGTGAAAGACCTAAGTGAAGATGCTTGAACATTTGCCCGTATAAAAAGAAGCAGCCTGCCTGCTCGTCCCATGCAGTGCGCTCATGGAACAATAGCTACAACTGAATACCCATGATGCTTATTTTCAATTTTGGAAGATCAGCCTAGGGAAGAAAGCTAATCGCTTTCCTCTCGCCCTCTGCTCCTTCTACTTTTGTCCAAGTGACTGTTGTTCCTCGAACATTTCGTGGGCTTGTTCTGTATAACACGCTTCCTGGACTGTGTCTTAAATGTCTTTCAATCCTCTCTCCCCTCATAATTCCTGACTCGTTATCCTGGGCTTTCTTAAACTGTAAACTCAAACCCCGTTGGCACCTTGGGTGGGCAGAAAGGATCGCTGGATTCCTTATTTCGGGAAAGTCCAGAGTACCATTCCAGCCTCCTGCCTATCCCCATTTAGACACACTAGGAAGATCCTCAAAGATCATTTATGGAGAAGAAAGGATGCATGTTGTGGCTGCTGATGGACAGCTAGAGAAAGGGGTGGGACCGGGGCGAAGGACCGTATCCGTGCCCGTACTGAGGTGCGGAGTGGGAACAGCCTGCGTGCGTCCGGTGCCTTCTTGCCCCGGCGAAGGCTGGCACGATCACAGGGAATCGGTGGTGCCGCGAGTGGGCAAAGGCAATGGGCTGGTCTGGAGGGAGGCGCGGAGGGTGGCGCTGGAAGCGTGAAAGGCGTCTTTGTGCAGGGTTTGGTGAGGTGAAGGGATGGTGAGAGAGGCCTGAGTCAGGACCTGGAGGCTGGGGATCTGGGACGCTGTTACTCGCCACACCTCAGCCGGAGCTGGAAAGATCCGGGTAGAGCCGGCAGGGGGCGGTGTGGTGTGGGAGGGGTAGGGTGGAGGCTCCAAGGACTGGTATTTGACACTGTAAGGGAGAGAAAGGATGGAATTGAGGGATTTGCTTCCCTGTCCCCTCCCCTAGGTGTCAGAGAGTTCGCGCTGGCTGGAAGGGTGCAGACTCTTGCTCGGCGCTCACTCCTTGTAGGGGAGCCGGGAGAGCAGCCCCCAAGGCGGAGCCTCCCTCCTGCCCCCAGTACCGCTGCCCCCACCTGGAGCGGAGAGGCGGGCGCCGCGCTGCCCTCCCTCTACGCCCCGGCCGCGTGGCTTGCGGCTTATTTTCCCAGCTGGCAAGCGTCGCGCTACAGACAAGGGAATGCCTGTGGTGAGTTGTTTATTTTGTTGAAGTTTGCGGTGGGCCAGGGGGACGTGGGGGGAGGGGGGCAACGGCAGGCAGCGGCCGGGACTGTTTTGTTTAGGTCTCCGTCCACCTGTGTGGTATAAATCTGCCAGCCTCAGGACGGCAGGGGACCAGGGTGAGAAAACCCCAGCTGCTCAAAAAGGCCCCTCTTTGCCACTTGCAGATCTAGAACCACATTTGATTCTCCACTCCTGGAATCAGCTAGATTCTAGCTTACACTATCCCCATGCCCCTGATCAGTGCTTCCCGCACCCGCTGCGGACAGGACTGGCGCTCCTAAGAGCAGTCAGCAGCCACGACTCGGGGACAGCTAGCCATGGAAGTTTCTCTCCTTGAGAACAAGGGAGCTGAGGTTTTGATATGAAGAGCGCGCGTGGAATTAGCGGGAACTTGTTTTGGATGCTTCTGGTATGAAGTCCGTTCAGGGTCTGCCCAGTACTACACACAGGGATCCGGGTTGACCAGAGTTTCCCGGACTCGAGGCTGCGGGGAGGTTGGAGGTTGGCTCCAGGGGGCAACCCAGAGGAACCCCAGGGACTGATGACAGTCAACGGCCGTGGTTGCGTTTGCCTGGAAGAAAAGCCTAAATACATTAGCGAGCTGGTAAAGCTTTTAAGGCCTTTTCGGGAGTGAGTGGCTGGCTAATGAGAGGTTAATTTTGTTTCGAAGGGAAGGCAGCGCTGGTTTCCTGAGATAAATGGACAGGAAGCGCATTACCTCCGCGCGCTGGCAAGCGGCTCCCAAATGCTTTTTGCACCTGCCGCTTCGAGCAGTGCGAGCCGCGGCGGAGCCCGCAGGGATCGCCAGGGCCGTTGTGTACGCTCGGGTGATGAGCCTCACGCACGCCCGGGGCCCTCTTCTTCCGGGGGCGCAGCGCTTACGCCGGGCTCTGGGGCTCTTCTCTCACATTCAGGTCCTGCGTGTTCCAGAGCTCGGCGGACCCTTGATCCCGCCTTGCCCCCTCCAGGAGCGGAAGGGTTAAGAATGATGTAAGTACAATCCACGAGCTGCTTGCTGCTGGCTGTCTGACTCCCGGGCTATTTCAGCCCCTGCTTTTCGTACACTGCGTTCTGGGGAGCGGCAGGGGAGCCCTTACTGCAGAATGGGTTGCACACCCTGGGTCTGCGTCCTGATTCTTCTGCCCCAGTTGATCTGTTAAGCAGAGACCCTAGTGTCAGAATTCTGGAAATAGAAGTATATTAAAGGGGGAGGGTGGGGGGTACAGGAAAAATAACCTGCATCTTGTTTAGAATCTACTCATTTTGCTGGCATGTGTTTTATTTCTACCCACTTACACGTTCATACCGTTGCTTTGCTGAGTCCCCTAATTGTACTGTTCTGGCCTCATCTTTCCTTCTTGAAAACAAAGACGAAGGGAGAAAGACTACAAGAGCAAGAAGCAGGGTGGATTTGTGAGTTGTACAAGCTGTCACGTCACGATATTTTTTCATATTAAAATGTAAAACTTTTATAAGTCATCAATTTGTTTGTGTCCCAGCTCCCTCCCCAGAATTTTCTTTGTGGAGTCTTAAAATCCTGCTTAACTTGCAGCATTGGAGCTGGAGAAGTGGATGCTCTATAAGCGACCATTCACCACGCTCTCGCTTTCCAAGCGGTTTCGGGATCTTGCTAGCAGGCTGAATTTACCCAGCGAGTGTGTCAACTAAACTAATGTTTTGAAAATAGGAACCAACATGCGGTTTAATTGTGAAAATTAACATTTTCCTCTAGCCGGCTGGACACTTATGCAGCAATAAAAAGTGAATTGTTAGGCTTATAAATCTTGAGCTTGTCAAATTTTACAACAGAAGAGCAATAAAGCACCTTAGAAGAAATGAAGTATTTCCTCTAGAGCAGTTCCACTTCACACCAGCATTTGCAGTGACTGGAGGGCGCCCTCTATTGATAAGAAAATCGAGAGCACCCAAGTACTTAAGGAACTGGATGGGGGCGGGGAGGGGGGGAGGCGATGAGGAAGGGGGAAAAATCATAGAAAGTCGCGGGTGAAAAGACACAAACTAAACTGAATTTTATCCTTATCTCTTGGTTGTGTGTTTTGAAGTATGTTCAATTAAGTGGGATGCTTCTTTCATAGCGGTGGAATTAAATCTTGGTTTAAAGAAAAGGAAACATTTTACTTAGTCTTTGTTAGCAAAATACTTTGAAAAACATTGTTCACATTAGATTGCTTTTAAAGGACGTTTACCAATATTTCATTAATTTTATTTAATTGATAATATGTAGTAATGGCAAGAGACTAAACTTTTGGCCTACTGGTATTTACCCCATAGTATTATCTAAAAATCATATCAGATAACTCACCCCAAAAAGTCATTTCTCCAGGCAACGCTGAAGCTATTATTTATCATATTATGGATGTGTGCAAGGCTTGGATTATATCATGGACAGTGAAAGGTGTGTTTACCACTTATGTTGTCATAGTATATAATAAGTAATGAAAAGTTACAATGAAAAGATAGGCATCCTTCATTAGGGATCTCATAGTTTGTACAATTCATAATGTGTCTAATAAGTAAGCTGGAGTGATAGGTTTGCCCTCAATTATCCTGGTCAGTTGATATGAAATTCCTAACTGGGGGTTCTAGGTAATGAATGGGTGGAGTTACCTACTTCAATTTGAATGTACTGTAAGTGAATTTAAAATGGCAACCTTGAACTGTTTGGGGAATGGCAAAGGCAAGGGCAGTAGGAAGTGGCTCCCAGCCTTTGAGGCCATTCTAAAGATTAGATACCACTTCACACCTACTGATAACAAATTGGAATCTATTATCAACCTCTTTTCTGACAGTTTTTCCCCTCATTTTGAACCCATCCAATCGCAGAAGTAGGAACTATGACCTGTCATTGAATTAATCTATTAGATTATGAAAATTTGTGGAAAAACCACTGAGCAACAACAAATCATGGCATAATTACTGTACACTGCATTAAAAGCTATCCTCATTAATCTAATTACACTGTAACCGAACACGTTGAAGTTCTCCAACTCTCAGACCCCTCCCAGCTGCTTTCAGGAAGGGAAATGCCCAAGGAACAAGAACACCGGAGTCTCCCACAGCTGCCTGCGAATTCCGCCGGGAGCTGGCGGTACCTCCCCAGCCCATCTGATCCCGTTCGGAACCGCGGGTCACATTCGGATTTCCAAAGCGGCTGGATGCTAACTTTACCAAACCTCTGCAATAGGTTCTAAACGCGGTTCTGCAGATGTGATTAGCCGCGAAGGGACTTGCCGCATGGCTCTGGCTAAAAGCGCCCGCTTCCTCCAAAGAGCTGGATGGTAGTGGAGAGACATAGTGGGGTGATTAAAAAGAAGAAGGAAAAAACTTGGAGGGAAGTTGAATCCAATAACATTAATTCAAGGAGAGGTCAAAGGCCGGTTCCTTTGTAAGGGCGGCCAGAGAGAGTGGCTGTCGCCTGTTTCTATTTGGTTCGAGGAAACAGTAAATCGCGGAAAGGGTGGATGAGAGAGAAGAAGAGAGCGAGAGAGAGGCTGGGCCCGGGCGAGGCCGACAGGACCCGCAGCAGGCGGACACGGAACTCGAATTACACTGAACTGGCAGGAGGCAGGAGGAGGCCGGAGGAGGCGGGTGGAGGAAGGAGGAGGTGGAAAGCGCGGAGGGCGGGTGCTTTGGGCTCTGCTAGCCGCCGGCTGGGTCCAGCGGACTTGCGCTCGCAGCCAATGGGTTGGGAGGGCGGGGCGAAGCGGGGGTGGAAACGACGTGGATTGGTGGGTGGAGGGCGGGCGGAGCGACAGTGAGAGGCTGAGATTGATTGACCCGGGGGCCGCGGCGCAGAGGTATCCGGGCGGCTGGCCGCTGTTCGGTTCGACTGGGCGCGCCTCCGTTGATCCACGCCCTCGCTCCACGCCCGCAAAGCCCACGCTGGCCGGGGCCGGGGCGCCCGCGCGCTTGCGGCCGGATTCGGCACTCGCTCATGGTCTTTGTGTCTTCTCTCCCGCCCTCTCTCCCTCCGGCCGCTGCGATGCTGCTGCGCCCCGTTGCCGTCGCCGCCGACTTGCTCCGCCCGCGGCGCGCTGCTTGCTGCGGCGGTGGCGGCCGCCCGTCCCCGACGCGGGCCTGAAGGAGGAAGAAGAAGAAGCGAGGCGCGTCCCCCGGCCCATGCCGCAGCCACGGCTCCGGACCCGCCACGGCGCCTGTGCCGCCGCCCTCGCCGAAGCCCACGAGACCTGCATGGACGGGCATGGGCTTAAGAGCAGCACCTTCCTGCGCCGCTGCCTCCGCCGCCGTCTCCGGGGCTGAGCAGCGCCGCCGCCGCCCCCGGCTCTGCCCGCCTCCCCTGGCACTGTTGCTGCTGCTGCTGCTCAGCCTCGGGCTGCTCCACGCAGGTACGGGGCGCGTGCGCGAGGGAGACTGCCCCAGGGCCAAGTGCTTTGTTCCCAAACACCCCAGGTTCTGAAGGCGCTAGTCGTGGCGGAGGGGCTGTGTGTCGCGACAGGAAAGGCCTCGCGAGCCCCTGACATGCACCTTGGCCCTGGCTCGCGGCGCAGCGGCAGGGAAACACCCGTGCGGCGCGCCCAGGAGCAGAGGAGGCCTCTTCCCCTCCCTCGCTCTGGCCTTCCCCGCCTTCGGCTCGGACCGTTGATAAATCTCCCCTCCAACAGCCGCTTATCAAAGATTTAGGGGGCGGGGGTGGCGGGCTGCGCGCCCGAGACAAATGTTCCGGATGCTTTATTGCTCTCTGCATTGGTGTTTACTGAAAGTCAGGCTGGGATCAGGTTGCCGCCGCCTCCTCGGAGGGAGACAAGGAGCCTTGTACTGCTGCTCTGGCGTTGGGGGTGGCGGCGAGGCGAAGGAATCGCACCAGATGGAAAGACTTTCACCAGAGTTTGTAAACTCGGAGGTTAATTTCAAAGTAACTTAAACTTCTTTAAACAGGACTTTCTTTAGTATTTGAGAAAGCTGCTTTTAATTCAGCTCTTTGGAAAAGCTCGTGCTTTGTGACTAGCCGCGTGTTCCAGGAGGGGTTGACAGATACGCTGCTTTCTGGAGGTCGGGGCTTCCCCTATGGAAGCAGCAGTGAGGAATCTGTTCTTAACGAAGAAAGCCTGAAAAGGAACCTTCTACCTTGGGACACTGTTTTTCTGTTTTAAATCCTTTCATTAATACAAGGTTAAATATCAGTTATACTATCTCAATAAAGCTGGGGGGAGGGGATATCTAGGATGCTCTATAAACAAGACCACCTCTAGGAGTTTGTCTAGACAAAGAATTTTTAAAATGCCAAATGGAAAGATAAATTATCTTTTATTTGAGAACAACTAGAGCATTAGATAAATTTTTCTTCCAGATCTTTTTGTCCTGTATTTGTATGACAGCAGTCATGGTGCTCTGATCTGGAGAGTCCTGAATTTTAATGCCACCCAAATGCGGGGAGTAGTTTTTATTTATTAAGTCATACCAGCCAGTGCTAGAAATCCTGGAGGTCTTTTAAGTAATGGGGGGAAATGTGGCATTTGAGGAGCGGGCTTAATTTACTTTGTGTAACTTTGCTTTATGATATAAAAGCTGCGTTTTAACACTGTCATTTGAAAAAACAAACTGAAGTCTTAAAGAGTATAGTGGCAAGTTTTAAAATGATTAAGGCTTTTCAGTTAGTTACTTTAGAACCTTAGAAAGTAATGTCAATCTGTTTACAGTTACATGGGAGATTTTTTATGACATGAAAGATATATTCAGGAGTGTTTTGTGTGAAAAATGTGTCCATAGTGTTCAAGCATAGGTTTCTTGAAATGGAAGTCGAAGTGCTGGGCAGGACTGTGTCCCTCTTGACCCCTTGGATATTGTTTCCCTTAGTTGCTACAGGGTCCCATGACAGGGTTGGAATGTGGTCCTTGAAGATTTCTTTGCTGGCGCATGAAAGAACTGAGAAGTTGGTTTAAAGGTTTAGAAAATTCAGGTGCTTTAGTTCAAGAACTTGGAATGTGAAACTCCTCAGCATGTTAATATGCCCTCACTAAAGTCACCATCAGATTCTGCCCAGAGTTGCTGTGGTGAGTGATTTCTGTGGACAGCTTGTCGGAGTGGAGCAATTAATCTGGTTATAGAAAAGAGGGCTTCTTTTGAGAGATTTCTTTGAAGAGCAGTGCTATTGAAATGCAGGGAGTGTTTCTCAGAAGCAGGGAGCCTAGCAAAGTGCTCTTTGCAGATGGGCTACCATATGTTTTATGCCTGGATCCATATAATTCCCCTCAGCGCCCCATATGGCTCCATATTTCACTTAATTCAGCCTCAGCATATCTTGTTTCTTTTATTACAAACTGGTGATTGTGCTGCAAATTCACACGTGCAGCCCTGGCATTGAAGAAACTATCCTAAATGGCGAGGTCTTTGTATGAATTGTTAAGGAAAGCTCTAGACCTGAAAATCCCTTAGCACTTTTCATTAACTGGAATGAAGATACTATCACACCTATCATAGATGATCTGGCTAAAAAAAAACAGAGATCTGTAACTGCAGATTTTGAATTCTGCCCTTGAGAAATGAAGAGTACTTCTATTTGCTTTTTTTTTTTTTTTGCTTTCTCTCTTAAACCTCTACAGTTCATGATTGGAGATTCAATATGGGAGTTACTTGCTTACTCATACACTTCATGGCCTTCTTGGCTACATCCTTGAGATTGTTTCTGCTCCGCATTGTCTTGGCATTTTGACAGGAGGCTTACTTTACCGCCTGTAACAGGCAAAGTGTGCATTGTCATTATAAATTCATGAAGCCTGGATATTTCTGGGTGTATGCTGCAAATTAGTCATTCTACAGGAGCCTGCGATGGGGCTGAAACTGCTGACCCAAATGCCCTCTTCAGTTAGCTGCTTTCCCTCCCACCATCTCTACTCCAAAAGGCTGTTAGAAACCAATCCAAACAAAAGAACCCAAGGAGTTCTGTTTCATGTGAAATTTCTTAAAGGAATCAGCACCTACCTGCTGTGAATAAGGAACGAGAAAGGAACAGAAAAGGGAATATAAATTCTGCTTCTCTTCCCTTCTGAACAATTGCATCTGCATTTCCATGCTGTTCTTACTTTTGATATTTTATGACTATTTGAAATAATTATAAGTAAATGTATGCTTAGATAGATTTTATAGACCATTAAAAGAACAAGTAGGCACTGCAAGTTTAGCGGAAAGTTCTTGTACTGTCATTTATTTGTAGTCTGAGGACTGTTCATTACTGAGTGATTTGGGCCCAGTTTTTATTTTCTTGCTTTCTGCTTGCTATGAATCTGATTTAAAAGGGAAAAAATTGATACAATAGTTACTTAAGTCTTTTTTTTTTTTTTAATTTATTTTAAGATATCAAGTACCATTTGAGAGTCAGGAATTTAGGGGTCATGATGTGTGGAGGGAGGAAAACAGGATTGGAGGAAAGGCACCACTTCCTGGTCTTTATGCAGCTGTGTGTGATCAGCCAGGACTAGGCCTTAAAATCTCTTTGCCTTGATTTTTCCCATCTGCCAAATGGTTTAGGGGGGGGGGGGGGGGTTGAATTTTGTTTGTTTGTTTGTTTTTGCATTTTTGAGTCAAAATAGTTCAAAATGATAATCTGCTTTGGAGAAAGAAGTTCTATAAATATCAGAGCTGCTTTTGTTAAATTTGTAATAAGCAAACATGAAATAGGCTAAACACAAGATGTTTTTGTGATTAATATTTTGATCTTCCCTTTTACTCAAGTTAAAGTGAATATCCAATGAAGACTACAACATTTTTTCCCCTTTTGGTCTTTGAAATGTAAGAAAATGGTTAGGGAGATATCTTGAGAAGTGGTCATCGCCTACCCTTTCCTCCCTAGCTGAAGCCAAAAACAGAGATTACAGGCTATTTAATTTAGATTTAAAAGCAGTTTACTATTGAAAAGATTAAAATATCTTTTTAAATTATCTTTATTTGAAAACCATTTTTAATAAATCTTTATCAGATAAAGTCTTAAATCTTGATATTATCCTGAAGTTTGTTATGCTCACATCTTCAAATAATTACATATTTACTAGTACTCTACTGACTGTTTTCTCCCACCTAGAATAAGATATTTGATGCCTGAAAAAGGTCACAAAGTTTAGTTTAGAACAACGTCCTCATTTCTCAGATGAGGAACATTAGACTTGAAAAGATTGAGTCTTCATAGTTTAGACACCTATAAAGACTGTATAACACAAATACATGTTGCAGTTCATGTCTGTAAAATTTGAGGTAGATGATAAAAGAAAGGATTATTCTTTTCAGTAATTCTAGTGTGTCCCCACTTTCTGGAACAGAATTAAAAAACTGTTGCACATGACATGGCAATTCTTATGATTTTTTGTGCTTTGAGAGGTTTTATAAATTTTTATGTGAGAAGCTAGTGGCAAACATCATTTAAAAATTGACTTTTTTGAATAGTAGGGCAGTAATACTTGGTTTTCCATTACTTCATTACACTACATTGCTTCGGTCATTAAGTTTATATGAATTGTTGATTTAAGGTAAAAATCATTTATATATACTCTGCAAATTCTGAAAAAACAGAGTGAGAATCATCTGTTTCTGCAGTGTGATTTCAGTGTTCTTTTTGATTTAGTGTACTTCTGGTGAACTGTTTGGGAGCTGGGATCCCTGAGTGATAGATGTCAAGGGAGAAGTGATTACAAAGCTTGGTCAAATGTATCACTCTATTTTTTTAAGAGAACATTTACACTTTGCAAAAACCAGGAGATGAAGTGACAGTTTATATACAGTTTGTTGACAAACATCGTTCAGAAAATGCAGAATAACTTAGTGTCTGGATTTTTTTTCTTGTTCTTCCTCTGTTAGCTGTACTAGAATCAGATAAAGGTGTTTTAACCAATCATGCTATAATTTAGGGGTTTCCCCTACCTGAGTTGTGGAAGCTTTCATTGTGGTTTTGTGCATAGACAGTGTTCTCCAAAGCAAATTACTTATGCAGTTTTCAAGCTCGAAACAGTTCACATCTTTTTCTTGGCCTTAGAGCAAAGGACTATCTCTCAAAATCCATAAACAACAGCAAAGTTGATAAAATATGCCATTTATGATTCCCTTGTAACGTTAACCTAAGAACACTTCACTAGACTCATTTTCATTTACAATGGCCCATGCTTGAAAGTTTTAAGTTTATTAAGTGCATGCAGCTTTTCTCCCAGTGGCTTAATTTGTGAGAGACAGAAACACCATGCAATTCTATTTCTGAAGGCCGTCTTAAAATAGGAGTATATGAAATAGAACAAACAGTCCCCAGAGGAGAATGTTATTTTCTCATGTAGCTCAGGAAGTTATGAAGTGTTTAAAAAAATGTGTGGTCTTATCTTCTTTTCCCATAGGTGACTGCCAACAACCAGCCCAGTGTCGAATCCAGAAATGTACCACAGACTTTGTGTCCCTGACTTCACACCTGAATTCCGCCATTGACGGCTTTGACTCTGAGTTTTGCAAGGCTCTGCGTGCCTATGCTGGCTGTACCCAGCGAACTTCAAAAGCCTGCCGTGGCAACCTGGTATACCATTCTGCTGTATTGGGTATCAGTGACCTCATGAGCCAGAGGAACTGTTCCAAGGACGGACCCACATCCTCTACCAACCCAGAAGTGACCCATGACCCTTGTAACTATCACAGCCATGCAGGAGCCAGAGAACACAGGGGAGGGGACCAGAACCCTCCTAATTACCTTTTTTGTGGCTTGTTCGGAGATCCTCACCTTAGAACTTTCAAGGATCACTTCCAGACGTGCAAAGTGGAAGGGGCCTGGCCACTCATAGATAATAATTACCTTTCGGTTCAAGTGACGAATGTGCCCGTGGTCCCTGGATCCAGTGCTACTGCTACAAATAAGGTAAGAATATCTTTTTTCTTCTTACTGATACCTTTCAGGTGTCTGACTCTTCAGACAACTTTGAAAGTGTGATACAAAAGACCTAGTTTAAAAGGAACTTTGCTTGGTCTTCTTGGCAAGCAGTGTTAACAGGGTGGATGCAGGATTACATGAAAATTAGTAAGGAATTTCTAGCTGGAATTCTAGGGCTTATGAAAAATGTGGGTCTAAATTTAAATAGGCAATTATATGAAAAATAAAAAGTAAACAGTAACATTGAGTTCTCTTGGGAAAAGGCAGGCCTATTTCATGAAAAACTGATTTTTTCAGTGATGTCTTTTTTAGTGCATATGTGTATGACTCGATTTGACTAATGTAGGTATTCTGAATAAAGAAAGCTGAGAAGCTTGAGGGCAATAACCCATCAGGAAACATATTTTATTAGAAACTGGGAAGCTATAGTAAAAGGTAATGTCGATAAGCCAGCCTCCCAGTGGCAGACCTAAAAGTCTTTCAGTTACTATCCTGTGGTGACCATGGAAGTTAGACTTGGATATTGCAGAGCAGTGATATATAACCCCAAGTAACCTCAGGTGAACAATTTAAGTGAGAAGCCAAGGAGAAAACTGAGAAAATGAAGTTAAACTTACCCTGCCTAGCTGCTAGTGTCTGTGGTTCTGGTTGGTTGGTTGATTGGTCAGTCGGTTGGTTTTAAAGAAACTAATACTGAATCCTCTGAGTCAACTTTAAGGAACCAATACTTTAGTGCAGCCATTTTCAACGTTTTTCATCTCATGGCATGCGTAAACTAATTACTAAAATTCTGCAGCACACCAAAAATCATAGTGTATTTTTTGCTGATCTGACCAAAAAAATAGGTATAATTTTGTTTCATTCATACTCGATCTCTGTTGTTGTGTTGGCTATTGTCATTTTTTAATTTGACAGTCTAAGGTCAGTGCCCCTGACTAAATAGGCAGGTATTGCATGTTTTAAAAATTCTTGTGGTTGAAAATTGCTGTCTTAGTGTAAGTAGGTGGGCAGGAGTTGTGAACTGGGTTTTCAATTGCCAGTCAGGGCTAATTTATTCATTAGCAAATAAAGAAGTCAAGAGGGTTTTCCACAATAATAGTGTCCCAAATAACCAGCTCCTTCCATCTCCCCATCCATAAAATCACATATGTAGACTATCTCATGTTTAATTTCCTTTGTTTGTTTTATCTATTCACCAGTTGGTTTAGACTAAGATATAATTGACAAGGATCAAGCTTTTGTAATACTTATGACTCTTCTTTTGATTCAAAGACACCCTCCCTTGCCTCCAAACATGTGTGGCACATTTTTAAAGTGAATTTAAATTATTTGACTTGGCATTTCGTGGAGGGAGTTTTACAACACCTCCGGAGATATCTGGAGGCACCCAGGGGTGTCACAAATCTAAGATTAGAAGTCATTGCTCTGAACAAAGAAGACTATTAAGAGTGGTGTAGACATCTTAGGGGAACTCAAACATCTTTACACTTTAGTCCTAGTACAAGCCCAAGCTGGCCTTTCTAAATTCTACATCTTGAATAAACTTTCTTTCTCTGGCTTTTATAAGCATGAAAGTAATTTTTCTACCTCTATATTAAAATATGTATATTATGTTATGATGTAAAGTTATATAATTATGAAGTTTTAAGACAAGTCATGACCAAAAATCCATCAATGCAGCAGAGTCAGGTCACAGAACCTGAGAGTAGTGTTTGGGAAAACATAACACTGGGAATTCGAGAAGGCAGTTTCATTGGGAATGGAGAAAATCATCATTGATTGTGCAAATAGTTGAGGACTTTGAGAGACAGCCTTCAGACAATACTATATCGAGATGAATAAGTGCTGTGTGTACGGGAACACGTTGGTTCCATGGAATAATTGACACTGAAGTACTTTATTTAGATCATTCCAGTTCAGTTGTGGTTGATCTATCATAGTTTTTTGCAAATAAATAAATAAAAGGTACATCTTTGTTTTCTCTTGCAGTTTAAGGATCAAAGGTTTTACCCATTCTAAAAAGGGGTCTTGTCTTCTGACATAAATTCAAGCTGATGGTGAGAATGCTTGGTCTTTAATTGCACTATTGGAAAGTATTTCCCCACATCTGGTGACCATGCTGTTCAGCAACAAATTACTCAATGGCTTCACGACCTCTAGTAGTTGGTTTTTTCCTTCTTGTTGTAACTCGCCAAAGCTCCCAGAAGCATCTGGAAGGTTACTGTTGAAGGTCTGTCTCAATGCTGGTATGACCTGTGCTGATGAAACCAAGAAAAGGCCTAAAATCTTGTAGTAAATTTTCTTTTACCTACCCAGTGCCAAAGTAAAACCTGTAAAAAAGTCTAAACAATGAAAAAATAATGGTAATAAACATAAAAACAATATGAGGCAAAACGTACTTATGAAATAAGTTTAAAAAAGATGGTTTTTTTTTTCCCCCTTGATGTCTGTGCAGTCTCAGTTTCACTGAAACCTTAGGCACATACCGAGACCAGCATGGATAACCTAGCACTGCACATTGCAAATACTGTCCCCCCCTCATGGTCAAGCATTTGTAACGAACCATGTGCTCAGTGTTGCTAGCTTTAAAGACTGACCAATGGTATTGACGAGGCTGGCCAGCTGTGATACTGAAATCGTATGGAAGCATCTGTTTCTTTCCCTGCCTTCAGCACTGACTAGCACTAGACCTGGGTGTTTGGACAGTGAGGTCCCTAAACCAACTCCTTGTCCTAGGAACCTGGCTTCCTGAGCAAGCCATCTTCAAGCTGATGTTTGTGAGCACTACCTGACCCTAACCATCCACCTTTCCCTCATCACAAAAATAATAAAACTAAGGGGTGGGGAATCTAAACAACAAAATGAAAGAAAAATGAATTCATCCAGGGACCATTTATTAGCTAAGCCTTTTTCTTTTTCCACACGTAGGCAGTGAGTTCAGGACAGCTAGGCCCGCAGTGCTGGACAGTGGCCCCATCTCCCCATCTGTTATGGTGAGCACAGGTGTGCTTTCTTGGGGCTTCCAGGTTTTTGTTATGCCCTCTGCCAGCCTGTTAGGCTCCCTCTCTGGAGCAGTCTGTGTGGTTGGCCACCTTGCCAGGTAGTGAGTTCCAAGGCCAGGGCTGGTTTTTCATCTCTCCACCCCTGAGGCTGCAGGAGTATCTGGCACAGCTACATACCTGGGCTGAGATTCACATCAGCTCTGGGCCATCTTCCCTCTGGCTGCGAGAGGTGCTTCAGACCTGCAGGCACTGGGGGAGAGGAGAGGACAGACTTAGAACTGGCAGGGTTGGCTACCTGGGAAAGAAAAGCAGTTTTTGTTTGGGGAGAAGAGTAGCTCACACTAGGCTCCAGAGAGAACACAAGTCAGTAGCTCTCCCAGGCCTCACAAATAAACAAACAGATCATCTGTGGCAGTGCTTGACTTCTGTACCTCCTCTTCCACTTTCTCTTTGCCAGCTCCTCAGTCTCAACTCCTATGGACTGACTTCTCTGTCTCTATTTAAGTGGACTCAGTAAAGATTTGTATATGCTGTGATTACAGAAAGTGATTTTGATATAAATTATTTTACGAAAGGATTCTGCACTTTGCAGCTATGCAATATTCCTAATATAGTATTAAAATCACCAGTCCTGAGTGTATTTAAAATTATTCCTTTTCCAAAAAATTTCAGGAATGCATTTATTGCACATCTGAACAATGGCAGTACTTTTTAAAATTATTTTTTACAAGTAATTTGGATATCTTTGCTTAATTTTTACTTTTAATGTAATCATGTCATTTTCTATCTCTGTAGCTTTCTTATCTCATCCTCCTAATTCAGTAAAATAAAATTACAAGTTGGAAGGTAAACTGGGGATGACAGCAAGTCCTTTTATAGATATTCTGCTACAGATTTTTCTGCACTTCATCTTTTAGTGAGAGAAGGTGGTTTACCTTCAGGCAGTTTACATTTGAAAAGAGGTGTTTTTTGTGCTTGACCAAGCCAGATGATTGTTGGCCAGGTAAGTGGACACTCTAGTTCTTACTCCCGCCATGGACATTAGCATTCAGCTGTGCAAAGCATGGGAAGAGGCCCTACCCGTCAGGTTTCTCTATATATATTTAAAAGTTACTAATTATTCCTAATTCTTTAGCTCTTTCTAGAAATTGTGAAAACTTCCACTGGTTGATAACAGATGAAGAAGGAAGACTTAGTTCATTTGATTCATTCTTGCTTGCCGTCTTCCTCACACTGTCAACCCACAGCGTTCCCTTATTTTCTTGTAGGGTCCTAGATCATGCGTTGGGTCTCTTTCTTTCTGTTGCCTCTCAGCATGTAGCTGTTGTTCCACAACAATAATGGGCATGTAAGCCATTGTTGTGGATCATTCTGATGGTCACAAAATCAGAGAGATGTGCCTGCATTGCCAAGTCTTTCCTCTGTAATTTTAAGCATAACTCTGGATCAGGGTTTGGAAATCTGTTCTCTCTTGACCCCAGGCCTCCTAAGGCTTTTTATTGTTTTTGTGGCAAAGTTGTTTCTGTTTTGTTAATCCTCATCTGAGGATAGGATATTTTTTCCATTGATTTTTAGAGAGAGTAAAAGTGAGAGAGAGAGAGAGATGTGAGAGAGACACATCAACTGGTTGTCTCCCATATGAACCCCAAACATAGGTGGGGATCAGACCTGCAACCGAGGTATGTGCCCTTGACTAGGAATCAAATCCACAACGCTTTGGGTCTCAGGTGGATGCTCTAATCACTGGTCAAGAGGAGCCAGGACTGTAGCCAAGTTCTTGTAACCCATTTTGTTGTTTGGATCTTTACAGACACAATGTGAGCTACACTGTGGACTAAGAAAGATGCTGCACCCTCCCATAGGCAGGGTTGTGTTTTAGATATATGAACGCTATTCTGGCATGCAGCATTTTCAGAGAGGACACATGGCGTTTCCTTCCAGAGAGCACAACTGCTCAGAAACAGCTTTAAAATCTGAGATTGCTCT